TTACGTTGCAAGACAGCTCTCAGTAGAAAGTAAGAAATGCAATGTTCTGTACTAAATTTCATACGTTATATGGGCCATTAAGCGATAGTGCATCTTGTCTAATGAAACCCAAAAATAAATTGTCAACGTCGATTTTCTCCATCTGACCCTTCTTTGCTAACTTTGGATATCAAACCCTCACTCCATACGGAAAGCTCAGGCTTATGCTGCAGCACAGTTCCAACTCGCGGAAGAAAGCGGATCAAGGGAGAACTGGAGAGTTTCCCTTCAGAAGCTGCTAAGTCTGGTTTTGCAACTGTACGTCATTTGCAACCACGTCATCGACAAAGGAGTAAGACCTTACCTCTGTGGGGCGAAAAGCACTGTGGTGCTTCCAAACCAGCAAAGAACACTGAGCTTTGTGAAACAGTCCTGAGGCACTTAAATTGTACTTTTTCTGAAAGTTTCCGAAACTGACTCACTTCACCATTCCAGGTACAACAGGGAGGTACTGGAATTAGTAGAGAGAACACGCCCTTGAAGTCTGACAAGGCCCTGATTGAATCCTGCTACAGCATTTACTAGCCACTAAACGGGCCAATTCCTTAACCCCTCTGAGAAGGATTCCCAATCTGCAAAAGGGGGCTGCCACCGCCCACCTGGGAGGCATGGATGTGAATGCAACAAGCAAGTAGGGCGGCCGACTAGTACCTGACACGGGGCCCAGCTAGTTTCCCCCTGCTGCCCTTCTCCCCCTTTAAACTTGCACTGTTCCCCCTGGTAAGGGTCAAGCCCACGGACCAGACTGCCCGATTCTTCTGTGTATCCCCAGATACATGCCTTACCCTTAGGAGGCCAGAAAAAGAAGTATCTCCTCCCCAGTCACTATCAGTGTTCTTAAGAGTCTGGGTTTTTTAAAACTATTTTGCAGGGAGAGTATTCCAGAACTGTTCAACCACCATTCTCCACTTTGGCTCCTCTCCCAGCGCCCATCCCTTCTCACCTCAAATCTTCTGTCTGATTGCCTTTTGTTCGTGAGAAAGAGAGCCCACTAGGGTGCGGACTCCCTAGGCCTCTCTCCCACCCTCACAGGTGAGTGTGACTACCTTCTCCCCACTTCCTACTCCGACTCCAGCTTCTGAGGAGGTTCCCCTCCCAGAGCCTGCAGCCTCTGCATTGTCCCAAGACACGCACACGTGGCCAAAAGCCTCCCTTCAGATTTCTTCCTGGCTGGACCCGCCCACCCCCCAAGACCCTTAAAGATAAATGGCATTGCTCTGAAAATCGCAAACGCCGCTGACACACCAAAGCTGCACGGGCTGGGCTTTCCTCCAAACCAGGCACGCCCTGCCCTCCCTCATCCTCAGTCTGCAGCTCTCAAGATGAGCTCATCCATCTGCACGGCTGTGAACACCAGCTAAGAATGACGACTCCCAACGTGTATCTCTGGTCCGGCTCCTTCACCTGAGCCCCAGGGTCATAGAACCTGGTGCCTCTTTGAAGTCCTAACTTGGATAACAAACGACATCTTAAAAATGCCTCATGTCCACCATTTACTCTAGAGTTCGATTCCTGGTAGGTACCCCACAGGCTCCCCATTTTAGTAACAGCCCCAGCACAAAACTAGGTGTTTGAGGTCACATTCAATTTCCCCTGA